TAACCGGTTACAGCAGAGTGTAACCGGTTACAGAGAAGAATGAATTTTTTGCTTGCACCCGCGTAACCTGTTACGCGAACGCGTAACCGGTTACGCAATATATATTTTTCAGTTTTTTTTATAATTATTTTAATATTATAATTTAAAAAATGTACATTTTAATAAAATTAGGTATATTATATTTTCTAATTTATTAAAAATAAGTTGATTATTTAATTTTTATAATTTTTAAACATTAATTTTATAAATTATTCATAATTTTTTTTTCTTTATAAACATTTTTATAATTAAATATAACATTTTATATTACTTTTATAACTAGGGGCATTTTGGTAATCTTTAATTTCTACCAATTAAACTAATTTTTAAAATCTATCACATCAATCAAATCCTACACTAATTCTCACAAACTTTACTTCCAAATCCACTCAAAAAAACAACTAAAAAATTACCCTCAAATCCACTCAAATCCATTCAAATCATTTCCCCCAAATTTACCCAAAAGAACACAGCCTAAGTGTAAGAGTAAAATGAGTAAAGCAAATAAGAAAATGGTGTGAGACAAAACATTGCTCGGAAATGCAGGTTAATATGGCATTAGTGTTTGTTTGTGCCGTAAATGGTTTGTTTGTTGAGGAAAAGTGTCTGACTAAAAAGCTAAACATCTAAGAGAGAGGACTTAGATACCATATATTTGCAAACAAATGAAGAGTGTATGTGTTATGTTGGACTTTAAGGATGTTTGATGAGACTATTTGAAGAAAGGGTTGCCAGCCTAGCCTACCCATGTGATGAAAGTACCAACTCATCTAAGGCACTTGTCAACTTCAATTCTATCATCAACATATCATGTGCCTTTTCTTTTTTTCCCATCACATCTTTTCAATCTTCCTCTTTCTTCCTACATTGCCCAAAACCATCTTTTTTTACTATTGACATTTCAAAATCAAATCATGTTATGATCCCCAGCAAACTTTTATCAATCTTTTTGGCTAAGTAACCATCATTGGCTACCTCATCATCATATGTCTCAAGTCAAACAACCTCAATGGCCCCAATCACACAACTTTTACATCAAAGCTTCGTAAAACAAAAGGGTCACGGGATCAAACAACAAACCCAATAACTGCTTCTCCGTATTTTATGATTAAATCAAAATTGTGTTCTTTTGATTTATGCAGTTTCAACTTTAATTACATTGGAACTGTTTCGACATCTGATCATAACATAATTGTCTCATTAAACATATTCGATCATCGCATTGATTAAATGTTGAAATGCTCTCTCATCTTCCTAACTCAAATTCAACAAAATTATTTGGAAAACAATTGGTGAACACCTAACATATAAATCACATCTATAAACAAACAATATAGGTTTGATGAGTAATATATATGATATGATAGAAACACATAAACCGAAATAATAAGGGTTGATGTTGTGTTTCATATATATAACACTCACTTACGAGACAAAAGGATAAAACGGGTACTCCGTTTTATTAACTTCACCTAATGTTTCTAAATGAATATTTTCCAAAAATATCTGAAAATGTGTTCTCTTTCTTCACACCAGTCAAAAACATATATTCTTTTTATTTCTATACAAGAGTAAGTTGGAACAAAACAAAAATGTGTTTATAATTTATATTAATTGACAACAAAAATACGTTTCTTTTTCTAATTTTTTTCCTAAAAAATTATAACACACAAGAAATAGAACCACAAAATGTGTTTCATTGTATTCAAATTAGCTCAATTAACACAATCTCTCAATTGAATATTAAGATTTTTTTTCTTAAAACAGTTAATCATTATAAATAATCTTATATTATAATTTAAATTATTCATTATAAATTCAAAATGTAATTAACCCACTAAAATGATTTAATGATAATAATAATAATAATAATAATAAAATAAGCATTTTTTTAACTATATAAAAAATAATACTTATTGTGTAATATACAGAAATACATGCATTCAGGATTCTTGAATAAGTTTGTTCAAGGTCCACTAAAAGTACAAGCAGCTCAATCCACACCACTTTTAAGTTTTACTCATTACCACCACGCTCAATTGGTTATTACTTTCTGCACCCCTCAAATTCCAGAACACAAATTCACCATTACTGTTACGAGGGATTAGGTTTCCGGAAGTCATGTGATTTTTCCAATCTGGAACTCTACGCTGCTCAACTACTTCTGGAATGATCTTTCCGGAATGCTACATTACTATATCGAAAACATATTTCTCATCCCCTACATGACGGATAACATTTTCCAGAACTCTATGTCCGGATTCTGGTTTCCGATAACCTGAACTCCACCATTTTACCCAGCTATGCACAATGAGAAACACATTCCATACCTTAATATACCTACCGTGAGCTGTATGAGTTCAACAAATCACCAACACCTCCAGAAAACCACAAAGGAGACCAGTATCAAACAAAACAATCAAGGGCAAAACAGGAATTCCAGTAAATGATGGGGTGCAGGAAGCAATTGCCACCCCTGTTACACTTACACTCTCCACTCCTAAGTTTGATACAGACTCCATAGTCTGGAGATGTGGACGGTTGGAGCAGTATTTCCGTTAATAATTCAACAATTTTTGAGAATCTAAATGATTCTTCACATGGATATCTTACCGAGGACTATCAAACAAGGAATTGTAATGCTTACATGTGGCTTTCAATTGAAAAAGAATTTAGAAAACAAATCTTACTGTTACTAAGGAAATTGTAGGAGTCAAGTATCCACTAGATTATTTCCTTCTTTTGAAGCAGACGAAAGACAACACATACACTACAATACAATGTAGGTCTGTTCAGACACTAGAGTTAGAATGAGTCAGAGACGTGCCTAATGATAGAAAAGACAACATTACTGTTTTTCGCTGTACGTGATCCTCCATCTGTCCAGTAGGCATATCATAATGAAACCATACACCAGAACAAAAAGGCAGCACCACTGCGACCAAAACTCGAAATTATATAATCCCATCAAACTAATCCTTTACCCATCAATAACCAACGAAAACAACCAGGTAGATCTTAAACTAACAAGTTGAAGTAGTCTCAGAGAAGCAATGTAGGTATGGATTGGAATTTAAAAATCCAACTCATCCATATTTTTTCCACAGAAACAGTTTTGATATTTTGAAACCAAAGCTAGTTTAAGTTCAAAACCCATTAAAACCAGTTTAAAGAAAAACATTTTAAATAAGTTTTAAACCAAAACAGTTCTTTGCTTCCATAAATCCTATCAGAATGAGTTCGTTTAAGGCTAGGTTAAAATTTTAATTTGCCCATAGTTTCGGTCAGGTTTATGATCGAACTCATTTTCGTTTTTCTTAATTTATTGGTATTGGGACTGGTTATAAAGGACCCAGAGTAGCTTTCTTAAAAATTTAAACCTGATCAAAATCATTTTGGTTTGCTAAATTTACACTTAATTAAGTTTTAAAAATTTGGATATTTTCATTTGAATTTTCAATTAAATTTTTTTTATTATACAGTGCTAGTAATATTTTTTTATTTTCACGTGTACCATCAATAATCAATAGTTCGTCTTCGTATCTCTCCACCTTGTTTATAAGCTTGCATTTTCCCTCCCCAATATTCTCTTCTAATTCATTAGTCAAATCCAAATCACTATTGAAGAACAAATTCACCAGTGAGTGACGAGATAGATGTGAAAAGAAACGAGTTGATCCACAAGTTGGAGAAGAAAACACAGAGGTTACGATCATGTCATTGAAGACCAAAATAAAATGGTTAAGATAGGAATGCACTCACATAGGAATGCAAGAGTGTCCCATTGTCCAATTCAAATTAAATTGGGTTTGTATGAGAAACAATTACAAGTTTTATTACAAAATATTAGACCAGGAAAGTAATTCTTCCACTTCAAGAGAGCATTCCATCCACTGCATGCAGCAGCTAGCAAGCTATTTCAAGTACAATCTCATAAGAATTAAATAAACCTTCACAGCATCAGCATCATAACCCCAACAGTCAAAACAAGAGAAACAGAATCTACAGCCTTAAGTGCTCAAAACAATGATTTCATATGAGGCAAGTACAGCTGATGCGGCATGGATTTTACTACTTTCGAAACAAGACACTATTTTCTTTCTATCAAATTAGACCATTTGAAGAAAAAAAAGCTTGCTTGTTTCTCTGCAATACTTCTATAAGGAAAATAGAATCTGCATTTTGACAGTGTGCCATCATACTGCTCTGGCAGCATCACATAAACATAATTAGTAATTCAATATGATGGGCAAAAAAGTATAATATTCTACAGGGTGAGGTTGTGGCTTTGGAAAATATAAAAGTGTACCTAAATCCTTGTCCTTACTCAAACACCTCATTAGCCCTCGTAAGATTCCTCTGCTCATCTACTGTTTGCTTCTCCATTGCGCACAAAAAAAAAATTAACTTCTACCATAAATTTAACAATCAAGATCTTGCACAATATCCAAAAAGCATGTGAATGAGCCAGCTATAAGGTGTCAATGGCACACCAATGGTCACAGCTCTTTTACGATCACGTGCAATGGTAACTGCCCAAAGACTTCTGCCACTTAGTCTTCTTAAGCCATTAACCAGACCTATATGGTCAGAATGACCCTCCAATTCAATTAAGCTTCTCTGGCTCCTCTTTTCCTTGTTAAACCAAAAGTGAAAATTTGCTATTGAACCACGTGATTTGAAGTGAAGTGAATGAACAAAAAATAAAGTACTTTATTGTACTGGCAAGGATGGATTTGAGAGAAACCATCCTCTCGCCCATTGATTTTGCAGGATTTTTCATATTTATGCTAGACAACATTTTCTTCATACGCACAAATAAAAACCAAAGAAAAGGTACAATATCATGCTCCTACTGCACAAATTTCTTCCCGTAAGGTTCTCAAATATAATGATATCGAGGCCCCCAAAGAAAAAAAAAACTATATTACATCAGAAAAAGGTTCCTAAAGTCAAAAAAGTGGACAACAAAATTCCCTTTCATTAGATCATATGTAAAAGTCTCAATGAATTAGGGATCACAATATACTAAAGTGAAACATATTGAGGGCTGGACCGGGTAATGAATTTGATAAGAACATGGTGCAGCTTAATACAAGGCCAGCCACTATCTAACCTAAGTGAAAACATTCTTATAACAATGGTTCATCAAGTCATACAGAAAAAAGACATCGTGAAATTTCTTTCTGTATATAATGTATTTCTACCTAAGCTACAAGAACAAAACAAAACATAACACAGAAAGAAGACGGTTCATCTTCCTCTACAATCTCAGTCTCAATAAGCCATCTACATCTATTCTCCAAGTCTATAAATCCCATAGAAATATAATATCATAGCCAGCAGAATAATAAGAAAAAAAAGAGAGTAAAGAACATAATTTAAACATACATCAGTGCTAGTGATCATGCATCAGCACCATCGGAGGCTTTTGGAGCAAAAGGATCATGAGTTGGACCAACATCCTGGCCAATATGGCGTTGCACAAGGCGCTGCAGATCAGCCATAACCTTATGCTCCCTCTTGGCCTTCTCTTCATAGTTAAACATAGCCAAAGCACGTTTATCCTCAGCACTATAAACCTGGTTTTCTTTCCTGATACGAATGGCATTCATCCTCTGATGCCTACTACCGCTCATCACATAACCAAGACTCTCAAACTTCTGAATCTCCTCCGCAGAAAGACCCACTTCTCCTCTTCGCGGAATACGCTTACCTTGTTGAACATACTGCGCAATGGCATCACCTTCACCAGGCCTAAGCGCTCCACCATAGCTTATATGCCCCTCAGCCCTCGGCAACGGCATTGGCCCAACAGCGGGTTCGTTGTCCAAAGCGGGTTTCTTCTGAGACTCGAACAATTCCTTTAACTTCATAGCCTCCGCATTAATCTCCGTGTTCAACACCTCATCTATCGTAGCTTTACCAGCATCACCGGAACCAGAACCATTCTCGTCCTCCGAATAAGCACGCTCGCTTTCCGTCTCAGAACTTTTCTTTTTTCCTTTTCCGCTCCTCCTGCTAGGCTTCGAACTAGACCTTGAAGAAGAACGTTTCATCCTCTTTCTCCCACTGCTTTCAGAATCACCACTCTCGCCCTCGTCACTCTCATCTGAATCGCTATATATTTTCTTCCTGCTGCTCCTCTTACTTCTTTTTCTTCTATTCCTCCTACTCTTCCTTCGTCTACGATACTCTTCTTCTGATTCTGACTCTGATTCAGATTCTGACCCACTCTCGCTATACGATCTCCTCCTCGACGAACCAGCAGAACTCTTCCTTCTCTTCTTCCTAGAACGCGAATCGTCTGATTCACTGCTGATAGACTTTTCAGATTCAGAATCAGATTCCGATTTCGATTTTCCTCTTGGTTTATCCTCCTTGTCAATCTTCCCACCGATGTCGTCTCGGTCAGAGATTTCATCAGGTTTGCTATAATCCTCCAGATCGTCATCGTCGCGCCGCGGAGGACTGGGCGTGACGTTCCAGATGCAGTATTTCAGCGACTTCCTCATCTTCTGACGCTTGAGCCTTCGGTATTCCTCGTAGTTCAAACCCTTCAACTCTTCGTCGGACTCAGAATTGGAACGCTGCCAGTCCCCGCGGTCGCGGTCCAGATATGCCCCGTTTCGGCGACCGAATTTCTTAGGCAGAGCGTCGTCGTTGGGAGCTCCATTGGTGTGTCTAGGGTTTCTGAAGGGGGGTGATTCCGAACGGCGGCGGCGGCGGTCCGCGGGGCGGTCGTAAGAGTCATAGCTGGGGCTGCGACGGCGGCGATAATCGTCGGAGATATCGGAGTCCGGTGTGCGGCGAGTGTTATGTCGGTGGCGTTCGTAAGGGATTTCGATGGTGGAGGATGGCCTACCCATCGCAGAAAGAGTGAATGGAACAATTGTGAACCGGGTTGAGAACCCAATCCAATTTTTGTCAATTCGGTTAGGTTATAGGGTGGTTAGCGAAGTTTTTTACTACATCCGATTAAAATCATATTTGGGTTGGATAAATTTATAAGTTTTAAATTTGATAAAAACATTAATTATTTCATAATTTCATTACATAAAAAGTAATTTTATATGTATTATCGTATAAATAGTTTGAATTTTTATTTCATATCACAGCAGGTATTGTTATAAGTAAATGTTTTATACTGTTTTCGCAATTCTTATTTTTAAATGTTAGTATTATATTTAATTTTAAAGAGCATATAAAAATTATAAATAACAAAGGTTTACAAGTTAAAATTTAAAAATAAATTATATTCTTATTGAATAAATATTTCTAAATTTTTTATTCAAATTTTTATCATAGTTTAAATTATTATTATTATTTAAACTATTTAGTTACTCAAATATTGTATTTATACTTTAATATTTATAAATGAACTTATACTTTTATGGAATTTTTTTAATGGTTATCTATTTAAAAACTAGGATAATATAGTAAAGAGAGCTCTCACTAAGGGACATTTATTGGTAAACTTTGAATTAGAGGAAGATAAGGATTATCGACATTGAATATTATATTATATAATCATAACTATGCTATTCTTCTATAGTTTCCCACGTTTATAGCGTCAAAGGCATAGTTGGAGAGGTGTTATAACGATAATCTATTAGCATGGATAAGGTTTATATATATATATATATATATATATATATATATATATATATTGTGAAGATGATGCTAATATAATTAGTATAATGAAAAATGAGTTGGTGAAGGTGAATGACTTTTACATCAAAATTTATGAAAGTAATTTGAGTGATAACCGATTATAAGGTTTTAAAATATTAATCTTGACAATTTGATTAAGTAATAATCGATTATCAATAGTGATAATTGATTAAGTAATAATCGATTATCAATAGTGATAATTGATTAAGTAATAATCGATTATCAATAGTGATAATTGTTTAAGTAATAATCGATTATCAATAGTGATAATTGATTATTTTAAGGATGTGTTTTTGATTTTAAGAGAAATATTATATTGAGGGAGAGTAATTTGAATGAATTAAAAGGGACCTAATTTTTTTTGAATTAACTAATTTAGGAGGAGTATAAATATTAGATGATTTTTTTATTATGATAAAAAAAGGGAAGAAATTTTTTATTGACATTTTATGTGATAATCTTGTGGTAACTAATACCTATATGAAGGGAGAGATATATGATTTTGTTGATATCTTGTTATTTATCTCTTGTTGGGATTAATTATTCATTTTCCCTTAGTTGTCAAATTAAGAACATAACATATCACAAGCCTTCCACAATTTTTTGATCATCATAAAAAATGGGAAGATTATTACCAATGAGAAACATTGATGCTTTGAAGGGATTTTGATTACGATGCACTTGAAGCCTTTAAGAGTTATTTACATACATGGTTAAAGCATTTTTTTTATACAAAACCTTTATTAGACTTTTGCTTTCACTTGTACATCATAATGTAAATTTCACTTGTGACAATAATCAATTACCATGAAGGATAATCGATTATCATGTGTAAAACGAGAAAACATTTCAAATAAACACATTTTCCAAAACTCATAACGGCCTAAAATAATCGATTATCATTTTTTATAATCAATTATCATTGACAGTTGAGAGATGTCTTTTCAGTTTCTGACCCTGCTTGAACCTTGGGCTATAAATAATGTTCTCCACAATTCTTAGACAGTAACTTTTCATTCAAGAGTATGAAATCCATGTGTCTAAGGGAAACTCTCAATGTGTGAAAAGGGAGCTTGTGTTACTTGGTGCTTGTAGGATGAAGTGCTCTTTCTTGGTGTGTCTAAGTGGTGGAGTATACCTACAAAGCAGTGTCAAGTTGTTCATTCTTTTGTGCGTCAAAAGGAGGTGTCTTTCATCTCTTATCTGTTAAGAGATGTGGTTTCTAATCTCAATCCTTATTTCTCTATTGTAATTTGTTACTTATTTTAGTGGAAAGGTTAATCCCTCTTTTGGAGAGATTAACGACTGGTCGTAGAATATTTTGATTCGAACCAGGATAAAAATATTAGGTGTACTTTTCCTTATCTCTACACTCTTGAATTTAAACTGTTCGACGAAAGTCCTAGAAAAAAGCAAAATTTTTTAATAGAACCAATTCACCTCTCCCTTCTTGGTTTATGTCTGTTATCACGCTCTTTAAACATTCTACTGCGCGATACTAATTTTCAAACATGTTTAAAATGTTAGTTTTCAAAAAGGGAATGTTGTTTTGCAGGACCTATGGTAGTAATTTTATAAATAACTGAAGTCATAGGTCCTATTAAAAAATGTATCAGTTTAAAATGTTAGTTTTTTGAATTTTTTTTAATTTTTAACACTCCTTTAAGCTTTGGTTGTTTTTTAACTGAAATCAAAAAATATAAATAACTTTGATTCTTTAGTGAATCGAGGCTTATATGTTTGTGAAATTTGCAAAAATGTTACCATGTCGTTTTATGCTACGGTTTTGTCAAAATCAAAGTGTATTAGATACGTTAGAAACCTAGTTAGAAACCTAATCATGTACAAGTGACTGAATTAACTTGGAATTACACTACACTCTCATGACCAAATAGACAATTTTACCGAATGTTATAGATTTATCAGTCTTTTCGAAATTGTATAACTGAGTATAAGTGTAGTTCTCTAAATAAATTGTTTGTTATATTAAATGTCAATTGTGTTTGGATGCGCAAATCATATGAGTTGTTTTAGGCTATGGCTTCAATGAAGGGAACGATGAAGATGAAGACTCATATATGTTAGAATATGCGAAGCTTACGGAAGAGCTTAAGCAAGATGCAAGCTTTGTTCCAGCTGAAGAACTTATTCAAAGTGAGCAAAATGGGATAAAAGAAGCAAGATGCAGGTGGCCAAGAAGATTGTTGAGATTGTGAAGAAAATTAACAAAGTTGGTGGAATTCCAATTGAGAAAAATGATGCAAGGAGTGTACTCAAGGATAAGATGAGAAGGGCTCTAGAAACACTAGAGATGATTATTTCAACAGTGGTAATATATATTTACATCTAATATCCATCTTTAGATTAAGTTTTTTCTTTTTTCCTAACTTTGATTCTTCTTTATCCGAATAGAAAATTCCTTTCTGGATTTAGCTCCTAATGTTGTGCCGGCGAGGGATTTGTGTTGTCTCTTTTTATGTTTTCTATTCAACATGAACAGTAATACAGCCACAAATATCATCAACATCTTCCATGGCAGTGCCAGTTTATCCATCTTGATTCGGGCTGTTCTCTGTAAACTTATTTTGGCCGCTACAAGACACTGGGATTCTGCATAGTTGCTTACTTTCTGGTCTCCATCTCTACTTTTAAACTATATAACCCTCTACGCATTAATTAATGGCTTCAAAATACTTTAATTATTATTCAACTTACTATAGACAAATAATAATAATCAGCACTTTTTCTACTACCTTCTAAACTTCTAAAAGTGCTTCGAGAAAAGTACTTTTCTAAATTTAATTAAGTGATATGAAACATGAAAGCACATCCAAACAGAATAAAGTGGAAGACGCATAGCAATTGGCTCCAACGGATAACATGTTGTGTTGCTATTTAAAAATACTACTTAAACTTATTGTGTTGCTATTTAATTTCAATTACTTATATTTTTTATTCATTCTGTATACCAAATGTTAGGAGTGACGTGCCATCTCTAAATTATGTAATCGGATCGAGTGATAGAAACAAAACAATTTAATATTAGAATAAAAAATTTAGTTGTAAAGTTGCATGATAAACTTGTAATTTTGTTATTTTAATGAAAGATACTGTTTGTTAATTTTTTTTATAGTATCATTGTTTTTTATATGGTTTAAATTTTTATTATTAAAAAAATATTAAATTATGAAATTATAAGTATACGTGGATAATAATAAATTATAATATATTTGAATTATGATATTTGATAATAACAACCGCTATACACATCCTAGAATAATATGATTTATAAATAATACATTTAATTTTCATTTAAAAAATTATGACAATTTTAATTGTTATAATTTATCGTAGAAAATCGTTACAAACATAAATTATGACGATTAAAATCGCTATATTTTATGAAAATAACCGTCATAATTTACTCTATTTTTTATAGTGAAACCATTTGACGAATTTTGGAAGTGAATCCATCAAGAATTGAGTTTTTAATTTTTTGAAGTAGGTTACTTTTTAAATTTTTAGAGTTTTATATCTTTTAGTATTTTATGAATTAATAAAAAACGAGTGTCATACAACACTAGCGATAGGACAAAGACAATGAGAAAAATATATTTTTTTTATGATTTTTAGCATAAGATATTTGTGAATAATAGAAATAATGTTCCTAAAAAAGTCAAAGTTAAGTTTAAAAAACTTATAAAATATTAAAACAAAATATAATGACAAATTTAGAATACATAAGTCAAAAGAAAAAAAAAAGTGTCTTTTCAATTCTTCTTCTTCTCTATCAATATCACTGTTTCATTCCGTACATTATAACTACCTTTTCTCCTTCTTCTTTTTTATCTCCTTTTCTATATTTTTCTTTCTCCGAAAAGTAAAAAAAAGGAGGAGTGTCATGTGAGTGGTGTCAGAAAAGAAAGAGAGAAATGTAGAGAATCCCCATCTTTCACTTTAAAGTGTATATATATACATGCACACATGGTAATACAATTGTAATATTAGCCTTTTAATTATAAATAAACAATATAGTGAAGGAATAAGTTTTGATGACAACACATTATACAAATTAAATCATAGCATGATATTTGGTATATTTATTCTAATTATTATACGAATTGTACCAGAGAGTGTCGGGAGCCGTACAAAGGACGCCCGAAATACCGAAACCGTCGAAGGGCGCCGAAGTGCCAGGCGCCGTACGAAGGGCGCCGAAGTGCCAGGCGCCGTACGAAAGACGCCACGA